TCACTCCTCCTTGACGCTCTCACGATACTCATTCCCATGCATCATCCCAAACCACTGCTTTGAAGCCATCAGACCCTTTGAGGCTTCCTATCCTCGCACTTACAGACCTCCAGCCACTCTCCTCTCCTTTTCCTGAAGATGCTTCAGTTCTGGGAACTCTTTCTCCAACACTACCCTGGCCCCGTTCCTGGTGGCTTCCATAGATGGAGACGTGATCCTTCTCATAGCCTCGAGTCTCACTTCCCTGGTGTCCCAGGCTGCCTCCTCTTTACCTTTCATTCCCAAGGTCATAAATCACTGCTGATCACTAAGTGACTCTCAGGTGTCAAGCGTTCTGTTTTCTGAATGTTCCTCAGGGACAGACTCTGCTGTGGGTGGTATCATTGCACAGTCTCTGGGAGGCTGTTTTCTATTGGCAAAGGGGAAGGACTGCCTCTTCTGCCATACAGGGCTTAAGAGGAACCTGAAGTTCAAGGCTTCTCTACATGAGTGTCCTCGTGTACTGTGTCAGGGTCTCAATCTTTACCTGGCAGAGTCTATAAAACATTTGCGAGACTATGCATTCATTTGCTTTATTGGTCTACCCCTTATAATTAGATTCTTGGTCCAATTCTCAGCACAACCTACCTTGTGGCTGCTAGTAATGTGTCTCTTTAAAAATGTCATGGGATCCTCCTCTGGCCTCCTAAGTAACTTCCCTGCATCCACCATTTTTATTTTTGCAGGGCTTTTAAGGCTATCAAAAACAGCCATGTCCCCCCCATAATCCTTATAATTTCTTCCAAACCAATGAAGCCCTTCAGCTGTTGTGGAAATATTAATTTAACTAGGCAAAGATGTATTACATTTGTTTATGCTGTGGAATATTACTTTAACTGTGTAAAGGTGTGTTGCATTTGTTTCACCTTGCCTGCCTAAAGCACCTGATTGGTCTAATAAAGAGCTGAACAGCCAATAGCTAGGCAGGAGAGGGATAGGCGGGGCTGGTGGGCAGAGAGAATAAGTAGGAGGAGAAATCTAGACTCGGGAGAAATGAAAGAAGGAGGAGGAGAGGAAGGAGACACCCGGAGCCAGAAGCCAGGCAGCCACCAGCCAGCCAGACACAGAGACCGTGGGAAAGCGAGATATACAGAAAGAAAAGCAAAAAGCCCTGAAGCAAAAGCTAAATAAAGGGAAGCGGGTTAATTTAAGTTATAAGAGCTAGCCAGAAATGAGCCTAAGCTAGGTTGAACATTCATAACTAATAAGAGGTCTCTGTGTCGTGATTTGGGAGCTGGTTGGTGACCCAAAAGAAAAAGAATGCTACATTCAGCCTCTGCCAGCTCATTGTCTCACCTCCCTCCATATGCTAATCAGCTTCGTCATCACTGTGCCAGAGAGGAACACTTTTGGAGGAAAAGGTTAAGTTCAGCTCAGACTTTCAGAAGTTTCACATCATCATGTGGGCCCTTCCTGAGACAGACACCCTGGGTGGGGAGGGTTTAGTGGCGTGGAAATGGTCCTCCATGGTGGCCAGGAAGCAGGGATGGGGACTGGCAGGGGTCAGGACAAGATATTGTTCCTGAAGACATGCTCCCAGTGACTTAACCAGTTAGAGACCAAGCCATTAACATAAGAACCTGTGGGGAGACATCTCATATTTAAATCATGGCCCTCCTGTACCGAATGAACCACAGCTAAGTATTTGTAAAACTGTATCCCATAGGCAGTCACTGTCCCACGATCCACCAGCAATGAGGTCCTTTTTGTCTTTAGATGGATGGGCAATGAAATTCCTAAACCCTGTCTCTAGGACCCTGCTTACTATCAACTACATTAATCATGATTCCCAGAAAAGAGATCCAGTAGTTTGACTTACTAATAGGTTTTCAGTACCTTGATAGTAGGTTTCTTGCAGTAAGCCAGATCAAGCCGAATTTAAAAAATAAAAGAACAGGTTTGTTTTGAGCAAAGTAACTCTCAGGTGAGTCTTCCAGCTCCCAGAGATCCAGGCGGTATAAGGGGCAGGAGAAATCATGTGTCTGAACTAAAGCAGGGGGTTTAAGTACCCCGTAGGTGAGAGGTGATGGCTTGTCCTCCATAAGCTGGGTTTGTGCCCAAGGATGGTATTCTTTAGGTAGGGTCTTGGGCTGCTGGCAACCTCAGGTGAAGAGCTTTGGCAGCCAAGAAGTTGGAACTGGGCTTTGGGCACCTTTTCTTTGTTGGAGATTCTCTGAGAGGGCGGGGTTTGGAGAGAGAGGAATGGGGCTTTCGCAGGAGTGAGCTGGAAGTTCCAGCCGAACACTTACATGATCACATTAGTGGAGCGTGTCACCCGGGGTAGTGAGATGGAGGGGAGGGAGGGAGGGAGAGCAGGCGAACACATGTGATGAGCACAATACTGAGCTGGGTTAATACATGATTTTGTAATAAGTGTCGCCGAAGCCTTGGTCTCAGCACATCTTCCAGGAGCAGAGCACCAATTCTATATCTGAAAAGATCGGTAAAGAGCCAGTGACAGGGCAAGGTGTAGACAGGCCTTAGCCCCAGGTTTTCGCTTATCTGTGAAAGCTTGCCCCATGGCATACCAACTCTCCTGCACTTGTGGATGGTGTCAATCATTCATTTAAGGAACCTGAAATTCAGAATCCAAGCCTTTGGGTGTGACGTTTCTGGACACAGGCAGGGTAGCCAGAGGCCTTGGAGGAGTCTCAGGCTGCAGATCTGCAGAGTCCCCATAGCTGTGGCTGGGGTGCCGCTCACTTGGAGTCTGTCAACATGAAACAGGAGTGGGACCCAGGGAACTTGAATACATGTTTAGGACATCCTGTGAGGGAGGGATCATATAGCATTGCCTGGCCCAGAGCTACAACCTCTCACTTCCCAGGAGCCCAGCCCCAGCCTAGTCTGGTCCCCTTTGCTTAACCGTTCTGCTCTCAACAAGACCAGGTTTTTCCTAGAGCCCCGCTTTCCCTCAATCTCTCCCATCCTTTTATCCAGGGGTGGAGAACAGGGGTAGAAACTGCTCAAGCAGTTTTACAGTAAGGACCCCCCAAAGCCAGCAGTTGTAATTCTTGTCCTCAGGGGCTGGAGGAGACACACAGCTCAGTGGCTAAGAGCAGATACTGCCCCTGCAGAGGACCCGAATTTGGTTCCTCTTACCTATGTGGGGAAATCCACCGGTCTGGGTCTGTCCTCTCCCCTCCCCTCCCCTCCCCTCCCCACCCCACCCCCATGCACATGCGCTCCTGGCATCCTTCTGGAGTCCTCAAGCATCTGCCCTCACATGTGCACCACCCCCCCCCCCCCCCCCCCGTATACACATATAAAAAGAAAATAAACCCCTGATTCTTGTCTTCGGTCAGAAGCCAGAAGTGTCCTTGGTTTTGTCTTGGCCCGAGGCCAAGCATGCCAGAAAGCAGCTTTGGTTTCTGGTCTGGTTTCCTGTCATTTTTCTTCTCCTTTGATACAGCCTAATGAGCTCCCCTGCCTGGGTTGAGGATGTGACAGCATGGAGAAACACCAGGACACCTTGGAGGGTGCCTGGACCAACCAGTTCATCCTCCATGCTCACCATGCCTCCGTTCAGCTAAAGCCTTACCAACCCCTAGGTGGGGACCCTTGATGGTACCCGATTTCCTGCACCCTGCTCCTTACACACAGGGGCTCCACCCTCTTCCCTTCTCTCAAGTTCCCACCTGTTTTAGAATTTCACTCTGTGAGACAAGAATATGAAGGAAGCCACTGACTCCAGGGAAGTTTGTGTGACCGGGAGCTTCTGGCACCCACCCGTGTCAAGGCCACCAAGGCCTGGAAAGCCTCAGCCTGGCTGTAGGATTCTTTCTTGGGAACTGCTTCTCCTCTGCCTGTAGCGTTCTTCCCTTTCATACCTGAGCGTCCATCTCCTTCGTTTGCTTCAGAGGGCCTGTCAAGTGGGAGGCCTTCTCCAGCTATCTTATAAGAAGGTCATTCATTCCTGTCTCCACCTGACAAGACACTCTTTCCCTTTGCCACACCATTTGCTGTCCTGACAGCCAATGTTTGGGATCCACTGCTTGTCAGTCTCAACCAGGTAGCGTAAAGCTTTGGAGGACAGAGACTCTGGTTACCCTCTCAATGCCTAGGACAGAGCGGGCACTTCACAAGTCTGAATTGAATGAGCCGGTGATATGAGGGAACCAACAGCTGCCACACAAGCCCCAGGCCCGGAGCTGTGCTGGAGACCAGAGAGTTCTGGAGTTTCCGTTGGGCTCCTTGCATTTCCAGGGACATTTGGCAGCAGCCTTCAGGGCTGGTGAGGTTGCCTTTGGATCTGTAGATTTAGGGCAGAGCTGGTCTTCAGAAGCACCTCAGTGAAGCCTGCTCAGGATGGAGAGAAGTTTGTCCTGGCTCCACACTCCCCTGGGGTTCTGATCACACATTCCAGGTCCTTGCATTACCCCTATCCAGTTTTTACTCAGGCTAAATGAAGTGGTTTTGTTTTGGCTTCAATTGAATTCTTAGATTGTAACACTACCGTCCACTGAATACATGATATGCTGCTCTGAGCTTGGTGCTCTGTGAGACCTGAGTGGGTCCCATCCTGCAGAGAGTCCCTGCACAGGGCAACCAGGTCCCTCACAGCACCCGAGGCTAGCACACAGCCCTGGTTAGAGGTGTCTTCCCTGATTTCCAAAGCAGCAGCTCCTAGGCTGCCTTGGCTTCTTCCTGGCACCCAGGGTGTGCCCCAGCTGCCCCAGTGCCCCAGGCTTCTCCCCCTCACCCTGGCACATGGCACTCCCCCCAACCCCAGCTGTCACCACAGGCTCCCGGCTCTTTACCACCTCAGTGCCTGAGGCCCCGGTCTCAGCAAGACTCGAGCCTGGGCCTCATCCTTGCGTGCTGTCTCCGACCCGGCATCTGGCTCCTTCCCCCGCAAGCCTCCAGAGCTAGCAGTCCCCTCCCCCAACGCCTGACCTCAGAGCACAGAATCTATTGTCCTCCTCCATCCCAGCCAACCCCCCAGCCCAACGTGACAGCTCCGCCATTACAGATGCACATTCACAAACAGTTCATTTACATAGAGCACAGGGAAAACTGCTCTGTCTTCAGAAAAAGAGGAGACTCCAGTGCAGAAGACCCTGAGGTGAGGGCGCCTCCTGCCCCTCCCTTCTCCTAGGCACTTCTGAAGGGTGTATGTGTGTGTTGGGGGGGGGGGGGCGGGCAACAGAAGCCGAGAGATAGGAGGGCAGAAATCAGGTTGGTGTATGTGGGTGAGGTGCTGGGCAAGCACCTGCTATTTAGTTCCTGTACTTTGTTGTTGTTGTTGTTTTAGAGTAGTTTATTTCCTATCTATATATGTCATTGTGAAATCTTTAGGACTTGTGTTTAAAATTCTGCCCAGTCCCCAGCTTGCACCGTTACCCCCCACCACACACACAGACACACACACAGATACACACACACACACACACACACACACACACACACACACACACACACACCATCTAGTTTTTATTCCAATGACTAGCTGGCAGCCAAGGCAATGGCTGAGCATTGCTGAGGTGGAGGAAATGGGGAGTTGTGGACAGATGCTTGGCCCACTGGCCTTCCAGGGCCCCCTGTTCTTTTCCAATGCAGCCTGGCTGTGGGCAGAAGAGAGGGGTCACATGTTCCCTTGTCGGGTCATGTCCTTTGCTAGAAATGGCACCTTGCCTTCTTGTTCCATTCTCCATCTGTTCCATTCTCCCTCCCACCACCCGTCTATCACTAGGTGACAGGATGTGGACCAGGCTAGGCCAGGGCTGGACAGTCTAGGGACCTTGTAAGGCAGCAGTGATGAAAATCCCAGGTATTATGCTGAGCTCCATGATCTGCTGTCTGACTTAATCACCCACTTTGTGCTGTCAAGGCAGGCAGTTCTGTCTAAGCCCAGTAAAGTTCTTTGAATCACGTTGGGATCCATTAATGATGTCTGCCATGGGTGAAGCCAGGGGAACGTCAGAACTCCGTTTGTCTTTTCAGCCTGGCGCTGTGGAGAACAGGCAGGAGGAACTCTGAGAATCAGGCTGGGGCTCTGGTGGGTTTCCGGGGGAAGAGATCCCTCGGTGGACATCCATAGAACGAGTTGGCTGAAGAAGGCTAGGCAGGACGCTCTGGGCAAGAAAACAACATGGGTGTGAGACATGAAACTCCATGGTAGGCAGGTGGGTGTTAGGAGCTCAAGGCTGGAGGCAGAAAGAAATAGAAGCTGAAACAGAAAGGAAAAAAAAAAGGCAACAAGTTAGCAGGAGTATGGGAGTATGGCTTCTGGGACGCACAGTAAGTGCACAGTAAGGGCCATTGCTACTGCTGTTCTGCTGTATCATGATGACTAGCTAGCCTGTCAGCAAATGCTTCCTGGCTGGCAGGCAGAGGGCAACACCCACTGAGGACCTAGTGGATATGGCTCAGTAAATCCCTCATTGACTTATTGGCAGAATGATCAATAATCAGTCGATGCAGGGAGAGTCCAGCCAGAGCAGGTGACAATATGTCAGGAAGAAGACGTGGTAGCAGGATGAACAGTACCCCAAGTACAAATTCGGGCCATCTCTGCTTTTGATTGCTCTGGGTGGTCCTCTGGGTTCCTCCAGGATCCCTGGCAGACTACCCACACTAGGTTAGGATTCTAGTAGCTTCTCTCTGTCCGTATCCTGGAGGGGAGGCTGCCTCCCCCACACAAGGGGAAAGCCTTGTTGCATGGAAGGGCTGAGTGGGGCTCCGTCCACTTGTTTCTCATGAGTCCCGGTGCCTGTATTGGGGAGGCTCAATGGAACTGCATGGTCCCCTCTGCTTTCTAGGACCTAAAGACTTGGCCTGATCATTGCAGGTTCTTTGTGAGTATGAACTGAGCGGGGATGACATGGGGACCAGGGGACACTTAGTTGAGCCTCGTGGTTATAAACCTTCACTTCTCTACCCTTATTCCAGGGGCTTAAGCGTTCTTCTCTCTCCAGCCAAAGGGTAGGCCACTGCTGTGCCCCTCCTCACTGAGGAGGAAGCACTCAGTCTAAGATGGCTCCTGATAGCACCGTTTCCTGCCTTCTCTGCCTACTCTCCCAGCGCCTGCCTGGGAACCACCCCCAGCTAGGCGCCCTTCACGTCTTAACTTTACAGGATGGAGCAGCTGCCTTTCCCCAGTCTCTCCAGGCTCTTCTACACAGGATGGCTTTCTCTCTCCTTCCTTCTCTCCTCAGGGTGCCTGTCTCTGCTCCCCACCCACCCCCTTCCCTGCCTAATTGAAGAGGCTCCACCCGGCAAAGAAGATGAAAGCTTTATCTTCCAAGTCCATCCCGGAGCGTGTTAAGATGATGGATGAGCTTCCAGACCCGCTTGCTCCTCCCAGTAGCATTAACAAAATTGGCTTTCAGGCTCCCAACTTCCACGCTGGAGAGATGGGCTGTACACACGGGATGGGAGACCCAAGCGTTGGCACTTGAAGGTGAGCATTAAAATGATTTTAATGCTGCATTTGGGCTTCGGATTCCCTGTGTGTGAGCCGGTCTCGTTGCTGGCCCTGCAGACTGAGATGAATGATGTTTGTTAAAAAGCTCTTTGGTGTGGTCTGATTGGCCATTAGTGCTCAGCGTGAGCGGCAGTGCGGGGGGGGGGGGGGGGGGGGGGGGGGGGGACAGATTCTATGGCTGGTTGGGTCTTGTGGGAGATACTGACACTAGCATCCCTATTGGTCATGACCGAGTCATCACCTCCGTTAGGTCCCTCCAACACTGACTAAAACTCAGACTTTCGAGAGTTCCGAGATAATGTAAGTATGAGGGTCCTGAGTTGGAATTCTACTTCTGTGACTCAGTTGCTGGCCGAACTATGCAAATCTTTTCCTCTTTGGCCTTCAGCAGCCTCCGGCTATGGAACAAGGGGTACCTGGCTGTTACGGGTTGAATTGTGGCTCCCTAAAATTTGTTTGTTGAAATTCTAGTCCCAAGTATCTTAGACTGTGTCCTTACTGGAACCTTGGGTCTTTACAGGGGTAATCAAGTGTAAATGACATTGCCAGGGTCCTGATTAAAAAGGGGGCAATCTGGAGAGACAGAAACACACACGAATCTTGTATGAAGATGAAGGCAGAGGTTGGGGTGATGTGTACGGAAGCCTAACATTGCTCAAGATTGCCACAAACTACCAGAAGCAGGTGTGAAGAGGCCTGGAAGCTGCCCCAAGGGCTCCCTTACCATCCTCTAAAACCTTGATCTGGAACTTTGGTCTCTAGAAGTTGCCATTCAAGCTGCTCCAGCTGGGTGCTTTGTCACATCAGTTCCAGGAAGCGAGGACACTGGCTGGAGCCACACTCCCTGAGAGCCTCCCTAAGTTCTATTCTAGGATGTAGCATTAGGGACCAGCAAGAATGGCACAGCCAGCGCAGGGTGGTGGTGGTTTCTGCTGCTCTGCTGCTCCTGGAAAGCTTGGAAGATGGGAGCCAGGCTGATGGGACATGGGGACAGAAGCCACCTGCTATCTCTATCACTATATGAAAATGGCTGAAAGGGCCCAGGAGTCTGGAGGAAGCTGCTAGACTCTGGCGACAAACGGGTGAAGGATGGATGACATCCAAAGCAGATGTGCCTCGGTAGAGCTCTGGTGTTGGGTTTAGGGTCCATGGTTCAAGGCTGAGGACCAGGATCTCTGACATAGGAACCTAAGTAAAAAAAAATCAGGTATGTCTGTCCTGTGCTGATGGGAAAAGGCTGAGATAGCCTCGGTTTCTCCATCCTTCCAAGTCAACTCTTTTCTTTTTCTCCCAAACAAAAATTATTCTCTCTGGACTGGGGAGATGGCTCAGTCTGTAAAGTGCTTATACAGATGTGACTCAAGTTTGATCCCCAGCACACCTGTAAGAAGCCGGGAACGGTTAGCATGTGCTTGTAATCCTAGCTCTGGAAAGAGGCAGATTCCTGGGGTTCACCAGCCAGTCTAGCCTAGGCTAACTGGGGAGCCCCAGTCCAATGATAGAGCCTGACTCAAAAATACGGATGGCTCCTGAGGAGCAACACATAGGTTGTCCTCTGGGCTCTGCACACACACTTTCACACACACACACACACACACACACACACACACACACACACACACACACACTTCTCATTATAAGAAGACTTTTCTACTTGGAGGGTGTGTCACAGGAAATAACGTTAGAATACTCCTACATCTGGGGATGTGGAACACAGACCCATCAAACCGTTAAGCTCTGTGTTGCCTTCATTCAATCAATCCTGCTGACCCTCCTGTTTCTGCATGTCTCCACTTACAGAGGAGGAGACACCGGGAAGCGGCCTAATTTACTCAGCCACACAGATAGTATGTGGTAGAGCTTGCATTTGAACTTGGAGAGTCTGATTACAGACACTGAAGTAACCAAAGACTGCTATCCAAGAGCCTAGCATGCAGGGGACTGCACTTCATGATAGACTAAGACCTGGGAGATGAAATGACATCACAGAGTCCCCTGAAAGAACGAGGGGTGATCATGATGTCACTGGAGGCTTGGTCCAAAGTGTCCTGCTGATTGCAGGCCGAACGTATCTGTGGATGCTGTTTATTCGACAGAAGTTTGGGTGGCCGAGCAAGAAGTGTATGCTCTTTGGTCCCTGGGAGGTGAGCTGGAAGACAGTGTCTGCTTGTGGGGACCGGAGATGGATAGGCCTGGCGGGTGACTTCTCTGCCACCCCTCCCCCACAGCAGGTAGCACCAGCTGTATTTGGCAAAGCCAGGAGGAAAGGCCAATCAGCTCAAGTGAGCTGGGCTGCGCTGGGGCTGGGGATTGCTTGGGATTGCTCTTGCAATCAGGGCATTTCACACAGCAAATTGTGGTCATTTAGGCTCCTCTACGGCGAGCTTAATTTCAGGCCCAAGCATGGAGGATATTCAGAGACACAATGAGGTAATTTCACATTTTAAAGCAGAGAATGCAGCGTAAATTAGTAGAAAAATCATGACACTTATAAACCCTTTCTAAAGATGTATTGTTCCCTTTTCTTCTGGGAGAAAAAAAATCAGCGTCTATTAAGATTGAATTAACCACTGGAGGAGAATTCCTCAGACGGCCAATTCATAAGGAGAGATCTATTTTAAACTTGGTCGAAAAGGCTTTTGCAGAAAGTGGTGGGAAGAGAGTTCCCAAGGAGAAGCAGGTGTTCTCCCAGCAGGCCCTGCACCTGAGCAGGGAGCCCAGGGCCTGCTCAGGCCTAGGAGCCTGGGTTGACCCCCTCTGGGTACTGCCTTGAGTGGTTCAACGGCTGAGGTCGGGTGCCCCCCTCCATCCCCAGGAGGAGGATTCAAGAACAAACAGTACACTTGGGAGGTGAAGGAGGGGGCGAGGATGTGGGATGCTGAAGGAAAAGCAACCACCCCAGGCTGCAGCAGGCCAGCTCCCTCTCTAGGCAGCTGCTGCTTTGCCCCACCAGGCAACCCGGGATCCTGCGGCATGGATCATGTGTTCCAGAGTCAAGTCCACAGGTCAAAAGATCCCGGCTGCTGTCACACCCATCCCAAAGCCTTTGAGGAAGGCTGCCCCATGCGGATTTCCTTTTTGACTTTACCTTGATGGTGTGGAGTGCGGTGCGGCCGAGAGCAGGTGGAGAGTTAGGATCCTGGAAAGAGGTTCAGGGAAGGGCTGCTGGCCTGCTGTTATCCCAGCTCCAGCCGCAGGGTCTTTCTTGGGGTCTAGCCGACAGGCGCCATGTCTGTCTTGTGTCACCGAGAGCTCTGAGTTTTAGTGTTAGCTCCTTTCCCAGCAGACTGCCACCTTAAGCTCGTGTGTCTCTCTTTGGGTTTCTGGGTATCTGGGGAGAATTTTTTGAAGTTTACACTGGAATGACACCTTAGATGGCAGAGGAGGAGAGGGAAGAGGGACAGGCTCCGTCTGATTCTCTGGCTTTTCCAGTGCTCAGCCAAGGCTTCCAGGCCTACAGACTCAATCATGCTTTATGAATGGAGCTGAACTTGGGGGCTAAGAAGCAGCACTCTGGGGAGATGGATAGGTCAACACGCAGCTCCTGAGCCGAAGAGAAGCCCGGGGAAGTCGGCCTGTGGAGTGGCTTTTCTGAGCCTGTGAGTGGTGAGCAGGTAGCCGGAAGAGAGATGGCCTCAGGCCTTAGCCCCAGTCTCAGGACCTTGGACATCAGAATCTTGTTTTATTTTTAGGATGATGTCTATCTGAAGGTGAATCCATCCCAAACCCGATGAGTTTATTTCCATATGGCAAACATTTGTACATGAGGCAGGACACCCTTCAGTTCCTTAGCCTTCCCTGCTCTATTTTATCCTGCAGTTAAAATCAGCCTTCTTAGTTCGCAGACCTTCTCATGGAGAAACCTGCAGTGCCTGAACGTTCCTTGACATGCACCCCCCCCCTTTACAGTAATTGTCCAAGTCATTTTTTAAAGATAAATAAATTTTAATATTGATCAGAAGATTTAGATGATCAAGCCCTGGAGCCCGTCTCCAGAAGTGGGATGCAGAAGCCACCAGCTGTCCAGGATGCTGTTCCTCCTGAATGCTACCTGTGCCTCTGCGTCAGCCAAGCCAGCCGCCTCTTAGGGCCTCATCCAGCCTTCTTGACAGCCAAAGGCAGGGAAATGGCTTCTCTGAGAGTCGGCTTTCTACAAAGACAGAAATAATCAGGTTGACCAAAGGGGAAAAAAGGGAAAATTGAGCATTATGAGGGCGATAATTCAGTAGGTGTCAGCCTCAGAATAATCGAATCCGATGACATTTCCTGCTACAGGAAACAATAGCAGCTAGCCCGCTGCCCGTCTGATTCATGTCTGGTTCATGTTTAACAAAACAAGGGCAAGGGTCACGCAGCCACGAGCCCCATAAATAACCCGTTAATGGGATTTCCAAACAAGCTGTCCTCAAAGTGGCTTTCCGTCTCACTGAGAGAATATTAAAATGCAAATGGATTCGGGCTGTGTCTTCATAAACAACCGTGTTCATTTAACCTCCGACCTCCCCGCTTAACTGCCCATTCCAGCAATTTGTACGGGGCTCCTCGGCCGCCGGCTCCTGTGGTAATTCAGGGAAAGTGCATTAAAGGAAAGGGTTACAATTTGCGATGCTCAGTTAATCACGCTATTGAGATGTTTATGGACAGAAGCGTTTCCCTCTTCACACTTGTCTCAGGCCTTCTGCCCCTGCCAGACCCCAGGCAGCTGGCTGCTCGCTTTTGTTGTTTGAGGAGCTGTTGGCGTGGGTGCAGCACTGGCATGGGGTGGGTAGGTTTCCCAGCTCAGAGAGGCTCCTCCTCCTTCCTCCAGTCATCAGCCTGCTCCCTCTTGGACGTTGTTAGATGCTTGGGGTCTAGGTCAAAGTCCTCGGTTAAATGCCCCTCCCAGTTGGCAGGCTCCAGATTCAGTTTCCTGGGTGAAATGGCGTAAGCACTCCTAGGCTTCTGCCTGTCACTGTGTGTTCCCTGCAGCTCTGCCC